CGGACTAAACCAAGGCTAAAATACCATCGGACTAAACCAAGGCTAAATCACCAGGAATATTGGACTAAAAGACAGAATCAATCATTGGTTTGATCTACTGTGATTAAAGTAGTGTACGTACGACAGCACACAAGAATGTATTCCAAATGCTGACGTTAAGAGAACATACCTGGATACAGTTTTTAACATCGTGAAAATGTTCAGGCCATCAAAGTGCTCATGTATACCAATTTGAGTGCTTCTAGGTAAAAAAAATCATGTCATGTACACGTAGTCCGCACTAAAAAGGCCACAGAAACAGGCCCGGAGAGGTCCAGTGAGACGCGGCTCAGTCTAGTGAAATAATATCCGATATGCCGCTGTCCGTTCCCCCTCCGGCTCCCCCTACCCCCGTGATGACCCGGGTCTCGTGGATGGAGCCGGCAGCGTGGGCGCTGGTGTCGTAGTGGCTGCTGGAGGAGGAGACCAGGGCCGAGCTGGTGCTGGCCGCAGCCGCACTTTGCATGCTGCTCGTCAGGTTGTCCAGGAACATCTGTGGCCGGTAATGCTGAGCGGGCAAAAACAAGTTACAGTCAGAACCCTTTAGTACGTGTGAACTATTGTACAACGTTTATATATTATAATATTACAATGTTAGCATAGCCTAGCACTGACCGATCTGAGCTCCATTGAGAAGACAAGTATTTCAAAAGTTATTATCTTGTCGTCTTGTGGAGAGAACTAACAAAACATGAATTCAGACGTTTTACAAATCGGCATCATTACGTAGTTATTTCGGAGTCCCTTTTTGTCCGTTTATTGCAGTTAAATCAGTTTATTTTGTGTTCATACAGCTGTAGTAAACAGCGACCTGTGACTTGCTAGACACAGTGAACACACCTCGATGAAGTACACGGAGCTCCTTCGGACTGTTATGAACCAGACATGACGGCGTTTCGTTTCCCGGGATATCTGGGACTTCCACAACACGTACTCGGCAGAAATGGAGGTTATTTTTTTCCACGGTTGATGGCGGAAATAAATGGTGGACAGTCTAACGGCTTCCAGGGCGATAAGCCACGCCCCCCTCCGGTGCATTACGCAAATGACTACAAATGGTCCCCGGCGAGTGAACACGGCGCGAATGTCGTGATTAACGCCGCCTTTGGTGTGAACGCACCTTCAGAGTGTCACTCAGACAACATCAGGATATTCTGATGTGGAATTTCTAGGTTACCTGCAGGTAGCTACGAACAACATTCTATCAACCATGGCCAAGAAAACAAACACTATTGCTGCTTTGTGCATGTTGTGAACGTCCCAGATACATCAAACCAACCGCCATCCTGCCAGGGTTCATAACATCATCCGAAGGCGCATTCAACGAGCGGTTTCCACCGAATCTAGAAGGTCAATCATCGGCCGAATTGATCTGGTTTAATGCACCAACACCATGATGCCGATTTGTTTAAGTCTGAATTCGTGCTTTGTCTGCAAGACTTCAAGCCAACAATTTATCAAATGCTTGTTTTCTGAATGGAGTTTGGATCGATCAGAGCTAGGCTTTGCTAACATTGTAGCTGATCCATCAACGTTCAAAATAACGTCAACTAGGCGTGAATACAGCAGCAACGTCATTGTTTGAGGAGTCTGTGGGGGGAGGTCTCTATTCATGATGGGACCACTGTTTCCTACCATCTTAGATTCACATGTAACTTCTGACTCCATTTATATTCCTATTATGTTACATTTGATTTGTATATTCTTTTGTACATGAGCTTTTCAGATTTGGGATTTTATTTGTTTGATTTCCGAATAGATTTTCAACATACATGGATATAACATACATATAACAATACATACATATAACAATGAGGACTGAGTCGTAGAAAAACAGATCCATAGCGCAAGAACTCTACCTCAAAGGTTTTTTATTTCTTCTTTTTTTTATAAAATAAACATTATTTTCCTTCTTTTAAATGTTCTTTCAATTTTGAATAAATATTTTTTGGGGCAGTGTCTCTATAAGCAAATCCCTTAATCTTTGAAGTTTCAAATTTCCATTTGCCGTCCCTCACTAAGAAACAAATTCATCAAACACGGTGAGCCTACAGTGTCTAAGCAGCAGTCGGAGGCTCTTCCGTGCTGTGAGTCCTGGTTTAACCATGAGACATCATGCATAGTGCAGCGATCAAACATACCTGAGGATCTGCTTGAATTAAGGAAAACAAATCCAGACCTAGAGGTAAAAAACAGAAAACAGATCATTAAACAGTGCCGCATAGTTACAGCCAGCGCTTACAGTCCGCTCTCACGCTGACTCACTCTGCATGTCTGTCGGGATGCTGGCCAGGGTGGACGGGTGGAAGGGGACCGCATAGTCGGCGAGCGTGGAGGTCAGATACGACGGGTCCAGGGCCTGGACGTTGGGCACGCGCACCGTGGGCTGGTAGGTCAGCACTCTGGGAGAAGAAGAGTCTCGTCATTCCAGGAAACAGCAAGCGTTAAACACTGAGGGGGCCTAACACTGAGGGGGCCAATACACAATAGGAGTGTGCGGCTGCTAAACCTGTGCAAACAAGACAACAAGGAACTCGCAAAGAGTGGAATGCATCCCTAACTGTATTTGCACGTATTTAAATTAGGCGATATGCATACAATTGGTGCAAAATTGGCCGATTTTTTTGCAAATTCACAAAGATCAGCGCTAATGGCCACACGCAGTTACAGCGACATTATTAACGTCTTCACAGAGTTGTAACTATTGCGCATTTATAATTGGTGTCTGCTCAAATTCATTGATTTTGGGATGCAATCAGCTGTGTCATGAACAAAATAAATGTATAAAGCTCCCCTACATGTGAACAGCTTCTCTCTTAATGGGGAGATGCACTTATCGTCTGTGCTGCGGTGGCACGGCTGCAGATATTTAGTAAACTCAAAAACCTGACTCTCACACAGAAGAAGTGGACGTAGTCATCGCGACGTAGCCCATTGGTTTGTGGACTGACGTTTTGAAGCCTCGAGTTTGGTGATCTCTCGTGGCCATCTTGTTTGTTTTTGTAACCAATGAACAGAGGTTACCATATCTGGAATCGGGATTAGTGACGTAGAGACGCCGTATACTGTCAATCACTGTGTCTATCACCCTAAAGCATCCCCTGCTTTATGGTCTGTGTGACTCTAAATGGAACATAATGTACTAAATGAACATCATGCTGTATTGAAGAAGAAGACTTGAAACTAGAGATTGAGACCATAAACTCATGTTTACAATGTTTACTGAGGTAATAAATCAAGAGAGAAGTAGAGTCATTTTCTCATAGACTTCTATACAACCAGAGGAGTCGCCCCCTGGTGGACACTAGAGAGAATGCAGCTTTAAGAACCTTCGGCATTGTCTTCACTCTGCAGAACCGGAGGCATTGCTGCTCTCACCCTCACAAATAACTTATTAATGTCCTCAGGTGCATTTCTACTTCAATCGCGAATTGGACCTTGAGACGGGAAAAGACAGCGGTTCATTCATGGTGCGATCAGCAGCCGCAATCCCTTCTTTGTGAATTAGCCCCTGAATGTCTCATGTGCAGTGTTCTCACATATTTCACTGGAAGGTAACGGTAATGGAAAACACAGACACATGTGACCGACACATGGAGATGAAATTATAACTTGACAAGTGTTGTTGTTAGGAACACGTTTGGTACACGTGTTCTCCAGAGAGGCCCACTCACCCCTTCGCGTGCATCTCCTCATTCTTGCAAATGTAAACGCAGCGTTTCTTCAGCGGAGGGTCCGAGTCCTCTTCGTCAGAGGACGACGAGGAGCTTTCCAGGGTCAGATCGATCACGTCGGCCTTCTTGGCGGTGCTGGGCTCAGTAGAATGGGGCGCCGCTGACGACTGGCGTAGAGGAGCTGAGGCCGGAAGATAAAAAGGAACATGTCACCCGGTGCGACAGTTTGCCTCACTCGTGTGTTGGCTTTTTTGGACAAGAGGAAGACGTGTCAGGCTTTAATAAACACACCCAGTACTTGTTGGCAGTAGGGCTGGGAGCTATGGCCCAAAATCTGCATCACAGTATAGTTTTGAAGCACAGTCAGTAACGGCATATGTCACAGTATATTCATTTTCTCTAAACTGTCAATAGTGGTATAGATTCTAAAGGGGAAGAGCACTCGTATGACTGCATGGTCTAATGTCAACCATACCAAACCATCTAAATGTTGTATCTTATACTTAAATACTTGGCATTAGTAGTTTCAATGCTGTATTATAAGCTGCTTAGAGTCAGGAAGTGAAACAGCTCATGATTCCTTCTCTAATATCCATTTCATATCGCTGTAAAGAAAATGAGAATGACTGTATTTATTCCAGTTTACTTCTGAACACATCATGATAGTTTGTACTTACCTTCGCCCCGTACCCATGTTTACTGGAGTAGAGCTTGAACGCACCGTGTAAGTCGACGTAACCTGTTAGCCGTTGTGCGCTGTTGGCAGACGGGCCGGCTGATTAAGTTGGTTGTTTCAAATGTTTTTAAAGTATCTCCCTTTGCAGTTAATTTGGGTTAGTTTAGTTCTTCTTCGCTCACCAACATGTGATATGTGGCTGTGACATATCCGCCTGTGTCACTGTGTGCAGACGTAAAACTATTACGCTGCGGCACACCCGTGTAAATGTCAACTGTCATTGCTGGCTCTACCGGTCAGCACGGTATCGTCAGAATTCATATTGTTCATCTATACCGTCTACACCTTCTACCGCTGGTTGGTAGGACCAATTCACATCTTGCCAGGGCAACATGATGTACTTACTCTCAATCTTTGGAAGCGACTGCGAGGGGACTTTGACGGCCTCTTTCTTTGGTCTCATGGGACACCAGGTTCCGTCCTCCTGGAACTTGATTTCATCCACATCGGAGCAGTCGTTCAGGATCTCCAAGAACAAACTGAACAGAGAACAAAACACTTAAATGAAATGTGATCATTGTAGGTTCCTCAGCTCCTGATCCATGAACCTGTTCTCAGGTCCCAAAGCTCTCATGACCACGAGCGATTACAGACTTCAAGTTCTGTGGATTTAAATATGCATGAGGATGAGCAATCTCCAAGTGGGTTACATACATATACATATATACATATACATATATACACATATACATATACACATATACACATATACATATACACACATATACATATATACACATATATACACATATACATATACACACATACATATACACATATACATATACACATATACACATATACACATACATATACATATACATATACACAAACATACACATATATATACACATATACATACACATATATATACACATATACATACACATATATATAAACATATATATAAACATATACATACACATATATATAAACATATACATACACATATATATAAACATATACATA